GTATGCTGCGTACTGTACGCACTCATAACAGTATGTCTTACTAAATTCGTAAGTCTTTTTCCAATGGATAGTTCGTCTCTCCGATCGATACGATGTACAGTACTTATGTCTTATAGTAAATAAAAAAAATTTTCTGGTTGAAAAAGTATTAAGGACGACTGAAATGTTTTATCTTTATGTTATTATACAGCAAATTTTTAAGATCGTTTTGTAAGAGAAATTTAAATACTGACAAATATTACGTAAGGGAAAACAAATATTTTCGATTGAAAAGCATTATTAGGTCCTAAGAAGTTATCGAACAAAAACATAAAGTATTATTTAAATTTATGGAAGGTTTACATGTTTTAATAAAAAAGTATAAATAATAATACCTCAATACACAACACAGAAAATAAGCATTGACAATTAAATTAAAACATCAGGGATATTTTTACGGCTAGCAAATATTTTAGTGTACAGGANATATATTTTATTATATATACGTTTAATTAAGTCGGGGGTCGGAAATCGCAATAAAAACGTAATTTTTTAAAAAAAATTAAAAAATATACGGCCAGCTACTATTCACCCTACTTTAAATCCTTCGCCTCCTGTAGATTTTATGAGAATGTTTCGCGGTAGACGATACCACTGTTCTCAAGGTCTTCCAGCTGTAAACACAATGACTCATCGGCGTCAGATTTCGCGGAAAGGCGAGACGATGGAGGTTAAATTTTGAAACTTTCTCTTCAAAATTAACTCATTCCTTTCGGTTTTTTTCAGTTTTAAGTACTGTCTTTTTTATGTTTAATTAAAAATTCCTAAACAACAGTTCGAGGAACAAGTGGTTAATTAAAAATTTTGAACTGTAGTGTAAAACAAACTTTGTACGGTTATATAGTAGGTATATAAATTTTTATGAAAACATCCAACATTTTTAATTAATGTGTTACGTTGGATATGATTTGCAAATTTATATACGGTTACAAAACAAAGAAAAAAATAGCTACTTAATGTTCCTTTCGAAATACGAATTGTACAGGTAAAGTTCCCAACTTGAAAATGTAAAGTAATTTATAAATAAATAACAACGACAACATTTTTATTCGAACTACTGTAATATTGATGAAATACAAATGACAAAACCTGATGGGAAGGTTAGGAGATTTCTATTGTATATGTTACCGCTAAAGCTCGAAAGTCGTTAATTTGCAGATTACCTGGCTAATCTGCAGATTAACTAGGGTGATCCGTTAAAGTTGTGAAAATTGTTCCATTTCTCAAATTACCTAGATAATGTGCAGAGTATCTAGGTAATCCGCACATTACCTACTAGACACTCGGTAAAGTGAAAATAAGATCTTTGCCACAAATAAATGTACCACNTAATACGTTTGAACAATCTAAACTCTTGATTTTTGCTCGTCGTTAATGGCGACCGTTGAAACGAAGTTCTAAAAGTTTAATATTAACAATTTTGTTAATGAAATGTTCTTTCCACTGTCGACTGCGCCATATAAGGTTTAGATCGGCGTCGAGTGACAACGTTATGAATTAATAAACGAATATAACGCAACTAATTAATGAATAATTTAATATTTGATGCTTACCAACTTTAACTTGTGGCGATAAGAACAAACAACAGAAAACAACATGGCGAACTGCGGCAACAACAGCGCCGCCACTAATTTAAACAAAATGAGACCTTACATTTTAAATCGTTTGATTTTTTGTATGTTTTTTAATTGGTCGATGATTGATTCTATCAACTAATTTGTCGATTGTTTTATTGTATTAACTCGATTCTTTAGATATCGAAAATTAAATAAAGAACGTTATGTTAATTTAAGCGTACAGAAACGTTGCTGTTGTTCCGGCAAAGATCTTATTTTCACTTTACCGAGTGCCTAGTAGGTAATTTGCAGATTACCTAGATAATCTGCACATTACCTAAGTAATTTGAGAAATAGAACAATTTTAGCAACTTTAACGGATCACCCTAGTTAATCTGCAGATTAGCTAGGTAATGTACACATTAACGACTTTCGAGCTTTAGCGGTAACATATATACTGTACAGTATGCTGCGTACTGTACGCACTCATAACAGTATGTCTTACTAAATTCGTAAGTCTTTTTCCAATGGATAGTTCGTCTCTCCGATCGATACGATGTACAGTACTTATGTCTTATAGTAAATAAAAAAATTTTCTGGTTGAAAAAGTATTAAGGACGACTGAAATGTTTTATCTTTATGTTATTATACAGCAAATTTTTAAGATCGTTTTGTAAGAGAAATTTAAATACTGACAAATATTACGTAAGGGGAAACAAATATTTTCGATTGAAAAGCATTATTAGGTCCTAAGAATTTTTCGAACAAAAACATAAAGTATTATTTAAATTTATGGAAGGTTTACATGTTTTAATAAAAAAAGTATAAATAATAATACCTCAATACACAACACAGAAAATAAGCATTGACAATTAAATTAAAACATCAGGGATATTTTTACGGCTAGCAAATATTTTAGTGTACAGGAGAGGTTTTTGCATACAACATTGTATACAATGGAGTTAACATTTCGAACGTAGTTAGATCCTCTCCTGGACAGAGCAGTTACGTAATGGAAGCATTTGGATTTTCGGACTATTTTTTAAAATAATTTTTAAATATAAAATACTGTACAAGCTTTTAAAAGTTTAAGCCAAAGGAGGTCATACTGACGTTTCGTCAGTATGACCTCCTTTGGCTTAATTAAACTGCATTACAGAAATAACAAAGTACAAGTGATAAATTTTTTAAAAACTTGTATTTTTATTATTTAAAAATTATTTTAAAAAATAGTCCGAAAAGCCAAAGGCTTCCATTACGTAACTGCTCTGTCCAGGAGAGGATCTA